TAGTGAGAGATAAAGCCACCTGCTAGGTATTAGCTGAGGATGAAGGGTCTTAAAGCCTTGCTAAGAGGTGGATTTTACACCAAGATAACACAGGGAGAAACGCACTCTACCGCTAATTCTATAAAGGGCTCATTTGATAATCTTACAGAATGTCAGGTTCTGCTGTCAAGGAGGAACGACGAGGTGAAGAGCTATGCAGACAAGTCATATTTCACCTAGAATAGAATTCACTTACGAAGATTAGAACAAGACTAAGGTTTTAAGGGCTGGCAAGATGGCTCAGTGGGTGTGTGCCACCAAGCCCGATGGCCCGAGTTCAATCCCCAGAACCCACACTGCAGAAGGAGAAAACCAACTCCTGTAAGTTGTATTCTGGCCTACACCTGCACGCCATAGCAGTAAATAAATAAACATAATTAAAAATTTGTGTTTTTTGGGTGCTGGAGAGATGGTTCAGTGGTTAAAAGCACTGGCTGCTGTTGTAGAGGACCTGGGTTACGTTTCCAGTACCCACATGGCAACTCACAACTGACTGTAACTCCAATTCCAGAGGATCTGATGCCCTCTTCTGGCCTCCACAGGCACTTCACGCACATCGTGCACTTACATATGTGCAGGCAAACAAATAAAAATAAAAAGATTAAAGCTTTTTAAAAAGCTAAACTTGTTCATGTTCTTTGGTGGAACAGCTCAGGGCTTCTGCGTAGGGAGACTTGTCATGTGGCCAACGCTCCTTCTGTTTGTGACCCAGCAACTTCATTCATTCAGAGCACAGAGATAGCACCAACAGTACAGTGTGAGCCTGCGTGGTGACACCATCCATCCCCTTGGAGCCGAGGCCAGACCGTAGGCACAGGTGTGCTGGGAGCCTGGGCCCACTCTATCTGTTGGCTCCAACATGCCCTCATCTTCAGGGGCCCATTCTTGGGCTCTTCCCAGTTCAGGGACACAGCACCGCACCCTCTCTTTCCTATAGTATTTGCCCATAACAAGGTGCATGCATTGGAAACTGTGCCTTTGACTTTGGAAGGAAGAACTGTGGGTTCACTCTGGACAAACCCTACATTAGACAGTAATGTGGCAGGAGGATGTTGTCAGAAAGGGGAACCTTCTAGATCCTACTTATGATGGACTATGGTGGGGGGGTGCCCACCTTCTCTATTAGCAAGTCTACCCACCACCTCCCACTGACCTCAGCTTTAAAGCCCAGCCTTCGGTTAATCCCTTTAGCATGTAAACCAGAACTAACCTGAGCTTGAAGATAGTTTTCACTCATGGTCCTTCTCCCAATTGGAGAGTCTGGTAGTTTACTTTTTATTGCACTTATTTATTGTGTGTATACACACACATGTGGCATGTGTGGACGTGAAGGACAACTTGCAGGAGTAAGTTTTTCCCTCCATACCGTGTGGGGACCCTGGTGATTGAACTCAGGCTGTCAAGCACATATATACATGCATGCACACACTAAATAAAACGTAATAAAAATGATGAAAAAAAATGGGGCTGGAGAGATGGCTCAGCAGTTAAGAGCACTGGCTGATCTTGTAGAGGACCCGGGTTCAATTCCCAGCACCCACATGGCAGCTCACGCCCATCCTTAACTCCAGTTCTAGGGGATCTGACACCTTTTTCTGGCCTCCTCAGGTACCAGGCACACATGTGCATGGTACATACACGCAAGCAAAACACTCATACATTAAAAATAAAAAATCTTTTTAAAAAAAGATAAAAAAGAATTTTCTAATGTTACTATAAAATGAACGAGGGTCTGGAGAGATGGTCGGTGACTAAGAGCTCCTGCTGCTCTTCCACAGGGACCGAGTTTGGTTCCTACCTAGCACCCATGTCAGATAGCTCACAACCAACTGTAACTCCAGCTCCACAGGATCTGATACTCTTTTCTTACCTCCTTGGGCACCTGCACACATGTGGTACACACATATACACAGACACACAAATACACATGAATAAAAAATAGAAATCTCTTATAAAAATGAATGAAAACTAAGCCAGATGTGGTGATGCACACCACCGGCGATCCCAGCATTTGGGAATCTGAAGCAGGAGGATGGCTCAAGGTCACCCTAGGCAGCTTAGTAAAACCCTGTCTTCAAATAAAATAAAGGGCTGGGGGTTTAGCTCAGTGGTGGAACAGTGAACATGAAATTTAGGCTGGGCCTGGTGGTCTATGCCTATAATCCCAGCACATAGGAGGCTGAAGCAAGAGGATCCCAAGTTTGTGGCCAGCCTGGTCTACATATCATGACTGTCTTTAAACACATAGAGAAGGGGCAGGAGGGGAGGGAAGAACGTAAGAGATCCTCAGCGGTCACATGCAGCTCCACTATGCTTTCAGAATACAGAGGATCTTTTTTGTTTTGTTTTCTTTGGTTTTGTTTGGGGTATGAATGTATAGGTGTGTGTGTTCATGCATGTGAGTGAGGGCTCATAGGTGCCATGGTGTGCCCGTGGTGGTCAGAAGACAACCTTAGGTCTTGGTCCTTCCCTTCCGCATTGTTTGAGTCAGGGTCTGTGTACCAGGCTCGCTGGCCTCTGATCATCTAGGAGCCTCCTGTCTCCACCTCCCATCTGGCCCTATAAGTGTTCGGGTTACAGATGTGCATGCACCCAGCTCTGGTCCTCACACATGCGCAGCAAGTGTTTTACCCACTAAGCCATCTCTCCAGCCTCAAAGGATGTTTAAAGTTCTCAAAAACAAATCCTCAATCTATTATGGGATGTTTCAACAGCACCTGATTAATAAAAACAAATGATGTCCATCAAACTTGAATGCTTAAAAGTATCCTACTTGGGTCTGGAGAGATGGCTCAGCAGTTAAGAGCACTGGTTGTTCTTGCAGAGGATCTGGGATCAATTCCCAGCATCCACATGGTGCCTAACAATCATCTGTAACTCCAGTTCTATGGGGATCTGACGCCTTCTTCCGACACTTCTACACTTACATACATGGAGGCAATACACTCATACACATAAAATTAAAAGAAAAGTATCCTACTCGGACCCAATTACATTTCCTCCTTTCTCTCTCCTTTTCTCTATTTAAAAAAGGGGTTCTCACAGAGATCCGCCTGCCTCTGCCTCCCGAGTTCCAGGACAACTGGGGCTACAGGGAGACCCTGCTTCAAAAAAAAAGACAAAAAGAACCCCCCCACAAAAACCAAAAAAAGGGGGTTCTCCCCACCACAGGGTAGCTGGAGGACACTCCCTTCAGCCTCCTAGGGAGTCTCAAAGTTGACAGTTCAGGCCTCTTCCCAGACCCATAGGGAGCTGTGTGGACTGGGGAGGATGTAGTCCATAAGGTAGTGGTTGAATTGGAACTCGGCTCTCATCTTCAACACTTTGGCTCCTACATCACAGGCTACCATTTCCCAAAAGCCCTGGCTAGGGTACACTGAACTTGGGTTTCATCAGCGCCCGACTCTACTTCCTAAGAACTGAAAAACAAACGTTACAGCAACTCCAGACATCACGTACAGGTTGTTTATTGTCCAGGAGAAGAATGACAGGAGCTGCTTGTGACAACCTTAGCATGTCACCCTGGCCTGCCTGTCTCCCCTTGGCCTGCCTGTCTCAGGTCAACAGTGAGATGTTCACCAGTAACCCGGACATCCTGGGGGATGTTTTATAATGGCCCGGAGCCAGTCTGAAGGCTCAGCCTCAGGGAGGAGGTGAACCGGAAGCTGATGACACCTGCCCAGGTGGGAACAGGCCTGGGACTCAATAAACATACCAGATGCTGGAGGAAAATTTCAGCCAAGATGAGATAAGCCTAAGACCAAACTGCCACTCCCTCTAGGTCTGCGGGTCCCGCACCCCGGGGACTCCACTGCCAGCTTAATGCACCCAAGAACAACAAAGGTCTCTGCCAGCCTCCAGCCCCAGGCTCGAGCCCCAGCCTCGGCATGGCACACGGATCACCCTGGGGCCTAAGCCGCCACGCTCCCAAGCGCAAAGAGCCCGGGGAGGGCTGCAAAGGAAACGCGCGTACCTGTGCGCCCAGACAGGAGGCATCCCTTTCTCGAACTGGGCTCCTGGTTCTCCTGCGTGCAGCTCGGTCCTGGCCTGGCGCCCCCAGCCCGGCAGTTGCAGCATCACCCCGCGGGGCGGGGCCGTGACGTCATGGCTGCATCTCTCCGCCTGGGGCCCTGCAGAGCATCCTTAAAGCGGCCGCCGGCTGCGCACCAGCCAGCAGGTCTTTGGAGACAACCAGGGTCTATAGGCAGACATCCCCCCACCCGCCCGCAAGAGGCGCTATGGCTTTCGTGGGGCCCTTCCTCGATAAAACATGAAAAGGTTTATTTTCCATGGTCATAAATGCATTATGAAAACATTTGCCCAGGCCTGCGAGTGCTCTTACCCTCCATGATTTTAAAATAAATGCACATTTATTTTATATTCCATATCTTCAGTTGTAAGTAAACAATCGTGTCCATTTGTAGATAACGGTGTTTCCTACGTATCGTGCCCCATTGTACTTTATTCCAAAAATATTCTGTCATGTTTATTTATTCAGGCCACAAATCCATCAGGTGGTCAGGCTATATATAACAGGCGTCCTTCTGATACCCAGAAGGGAGCAAAAAAAGTTCCTGTTCCCTTGGACTAATATTTTAGAGGCGAAGATACACATTAGTAGGAGAAAAGGCAGGAAGGGCTGGAGAGAAGGCCCAGCGCGCGCGGCGGTGGGGTTGGGGGCGCACGAGTTGGGGATTAAATTCAATCCCTGGATCCCACACAAGGGTGGCAGGAGAGGCCCGACTCCACAAAGTTGCCCTGTGACCTCCCCAAGCACCCAGTGGTGCTCGAATGTCCACACACACAATAAAAAAATGTAAAGTTAAAAAATGTAAAAAGAAATAAAGTAGATAAATGGTAAGTCAGAGGACATCACTCCCTTGAAGTGCACAGCATTTCAGATGGGTGAACTAAGACTAAGCGATCCTGGTGTGTCACGTCATCATCGCTGGCCCCACCCCCCAAGTGACTGATAGGCACGGTGTAGTTGAACATTGCTAAGAACAGATTTTAGGAGTTCTCATCACAGACAGGAATGTAAGGTGATTCATATCAGTTGCTTGATTCAGCCGCTGTGCAATGCACACCTGTGTGTGGACACATGCCCAACAAACACGCCATTTTTACTTAACCCCAAACCGTTTTATAAAGGAGAACTGCCAGTGCACGTCTTTCACCCCAGCGCTTGGCTTGGGAGGTAGAGGCAGGTGGATCTCTGTGAGTTCGAGGCCAGTCTGGGCTACGTAGTGAGTTCCAGGCCAGCCAGGGCTACATGGTGAGAGAGCTGAATGCTCGTGTTCAGTTCGCTTTCTCCTTTAAAAAAAGGATTTATGTCATTTTAAATAACATGTAGGTCTGTGTATCTGTGTGTGGGTATGGGCATGCACGTGCCAGTGCTGGTGGAGGCCAGAGGCACTGGATCCCCTGGGGCTAGCGTTACAGGGGGTTATGAGCTACCTGACGTGGGTGCTGGGAACTGAACTCAGGTGCAACAGCAGTGTGTGCTCTTAACCACTGAGCCGTCTCTCTGGCCTCTACTTTTCCCTTTTATGCAGTCTTGGACTCCAGCCCACTGAATAGCGCGGTCCACATTCAGAGTGGGTCTTCCCTCCCTAGTGAGCCCACTCCAGAAACTCCCTCACAGATTTGGGGTGAGAGTTCCTTGAGGTGGTGACATTAGGAGCCACACTAAAGACTGAGGAGGCTCTCAACAGGGAGGTTAGGTGGCAGACCTGTGGGCAGGAGAGGGTCTGGTGAGCACAGAGCTGAGAGGCCAGGGGCCGCACAGAGGCCCGGGGAGACTGGGAGTTGGGGGCTGCAGTGGCAGCTGGACCCAGAACTCTTGCCATTTCCTTCCCTCCTTCCTTTCTTCCTCCCTCCCTCCATCCCTCCTTCCCTCCCTCCCTCTGCCCCTTTCTCCCTCTCTCCCCCTAGGGTCTTGTTACATGGCCCAAGCTGGCCTTGAACTCTACGGGTGCATGTACCACACTGGCTTAAGTAATGCAATTCTCTGTCTTTTTGGTGATGCCGGTTTGGACCCCAGGGTCTCTCAGACACTAGCTGAGCACTCTACATGGAGTCACACCCCCTCTTGTTGTCTTTTTCTAAGAACCAGGGGGAGCCCAGAAAGGGGGTCACCTTGGCGGGCTGGTGACACAAGTTAAGATCGTAAAGCTCTGGATGGAAGCTGGACAGGGTGGTGGTGGTGGTGGTGGTGGTGGTGGTGGTGGTGGTAGTGCAGGTGGCTGTGGCAGGCAGAAGATCACAGTACGGCCAGATGGGAGAAGGTAAGTGAGGGTGGAGGGGACAGGAGACAGGAGCATTTTTATACTCTGTATCCTATGCACTCAGTGTTAAAGAAAGCAATCATTTAGCTCATATGCATGGTTAATGATTGGATTGTCTTGAGTTAACCCCACCAGCTCAGATGCCCCTGGAAGGGTCCAAGGTTGATGCCAGCACGTTAACTAACTGGACTCATTATTTCAAAACGTGCCTGAGCCCAGACATCCATAGATCAAAGACAAGTACAAAGGATAGAGAGGCACAGACATCCCAAGACTCAAAAGCATGGCTGACCACCTGACCAGAGGGGAGGGACCTCCATAATGATTGACTGCCTTTGTCCCCATCCTCTCTCTATGTAATCTGCTGCCTGAAGATGGGATGGAAGGCAGTTTTTACTGGCTCCTTAGATAAAGTGCAACTTAAAGATTCAGTTCCAAAAAAAAAAAGCCGGGCGTGGTGGTGCACACCTTTAATCCCAGCACTTGGGAGGCAGAGGCAGGCAGATTGCTGTGAGTTCAAGGCCAGCCTGGTCTACATAGTGAGTTTCAGGGCAGCTGGGGCTACCTTGTCTCAAAAAGACAAAAAAAAAAAAAAAAAAAAAAAAAAAAAAAAAAAGATTCAGTTCCTATCCGGGTTCAGCTCATTGGTTACTATGGTGACAGGCAGCCTGACTTTTGCTTACAGTCAGAGATGATGGACTGGCGAGGTGCTCAGGAAGCAACCTGTTGTATGGGGCACTATTTCCGGGGAGATGTGAACAAGTATCTATTTACCCCAGATAGGGAACGAAAGTAAGGGCACCACCAAAGTCTAACTTGGTGAACCAATGAGTTTTTTGGGGTTACTTACAGGAGCAGCACCAAAGCCCACCCCAGCAAGAGGGACAGTGCACCACAGTTGGAATCTAGAACCTTCTTTTTTGTAACCCTTCCAAGGACAGATAAGAGTGAGGTGGGTTTTGTTTTTTTCCCTTCTCTGGATACGATGTAGACAGGAGGCCAGAATTGAACTGGGCAATGAACCAGGTCCAGTGAGTGAAGGTGGAGGTGCCCTGATGGGTCCCTCAGCCTCGGTGTGGGAAGGACGGAGGCCTGGGGGTGTTGGAAGTCCCCCTGCCCCCATACAGGGCCTGACCGTATCCCCACCTATGCTCCTGCAGGAGCCCAGGCTAGCAAGGTTGGCCAAATCCCTGCAGCCAGGGGACCTCCACGTAGCCAGGACCTCCTGCGTCCAACACCTGAAGGTCACAGGAGCTGCTGTCGCTCCCCAGGGCTGCCTTCTGAAGAGACAAGAGAAAGCAAACAGAGGGAGGTGACTCAGTGGGGACCCAGCCAGGGGGACTCGGCGGGGCGTGGAGACTGGGCGGAAGCCGCGGCGCCCCGCGGTGGGCGCAGTAACCACAGGTGTCCACCAGGTGGCGCCAGAGCCCCACCTTCGCGGCTGCATCCCTGACCTCGGATGCTGGATTCTAAGGCCGATTCTTACTTATTTTTCTCTTAGTGAACATAGCTTTTCTGCAAAGCACGGAGCCGCTTGGGCTTTTCGAATCACATTATCTTTTTTTAAAAAGGATTATTTATTTATTTATTTATTATTTATTTATTTTATTTATTTATTTATTATTTGCTTCAAGGTCTCACTATGCAGCCCTTGTCTGTCCTGGAGCTTGCTATATAGACCAGGCTGGCCTCATAGAGATCTGCCTGATTTTTGTGTCCCCAGTGTGTGATGAAAGGTGTGTTCCTGGGCTGGAGAGATGGCTTAGCAGTTAAGAACACTGGTTGTTCTTGCAGAAGACCTGGGTTCGAATCCCAGCACCCACATGGCAGCTAACAACTGTCGGTAACTCCCGTCCCAGGGGATCCGACAGCCCCTTCTCCGCGAGCATTGCACGACACGGTGCACTTACCTACATGCAGTCAATACCTATAAAATAAAAATAATAAAATTTTACAAAAAGAAAGGTGTGCACTCCACACACAGCAACAGATTTATTTTATTTTATTTTTGAGACAGGGTCTTCCTATAGCCCCAGCTGGCCTGGAACTCACTATGTAGACCAGGCTGGCTTTGAACTCACAGAGAACTGCCTGCCTCTGCCTCCCTAGTGCTTGGATTAAAGGCGTGCGACACCACACCTGGTCAGATTTGTTTTTAAATGTGTGTGTGTGTGTGTGTGTTATGGTATGAGCATGTGTAAGTGCAGGTACCCTTTGAGTCCAGAAGAGGGAGTTGGATCCCCTGGAGCTGAAGTTACAGGTGGTTGTGAGCAGATTCTCTTAACCACCAAGCCATCTCTCTAGTCCCTACATTAGCTTTCATAACATATCTATGCCAGACACTGTGTTGGTCTTTTTATGGGCTTTAACATCATGCAGTCCCATAGTTTATGAAGCAGGCTTAGAATTGGGGAGGCCATGAACAGTCAGGGCTGGGGTAGGGATTTGAACTCAGGGTGGTGGGGCATGGAGCAGCAGTGGCAGGGATGGCCACTCCCTCAGTCCTTGGGTCCATTCTTTGCTTGTGCAGCAAATTGTCTGTGTAGCACTTGAGACGGGGAGTTGGGCTTGGGATCAAGAAAACCAGTGGAGACCTCACACCCTGGGGACTTGGGGCTTCTGACACCCAGGGCAGTGGAATAGGAATGGTGGGCCATAGCAGGGGCCGCTGCACACACCTGACCCTGGGCTGGGTGGAGCCTCGCTGGGGTGCAGGGTTGGCAGATAAAACACGGTGTCCAGTTCCATTCAAACTATGTAAACAGGTCGCTTTAGGAGTGTATTCCCAGCAACATTGGGGCT